TTTGTATATGTTTTGGCATTGAAAAAATGTGTCATAGAGAAGAAAAGGTAAGCCTAATAGTAAATAATACTTTATTATACTTAAATACCTGTTAATATTTATAAATGCTGTTAGAAATATATTATAGGAATTATTCCATTATTTTTTAATAATTTTTGTTTATTTATTTATTTTCAGAGAGAGAGCACTGTCTGCGCAGAGCCTGATGTGGGGCTCAAACTCACCAACGGTGAGACCATGACCTGAGCTGAAGTCAGACGCTCAATCGACTAAGCCACCCTGGCGCCCCAGGAATATTTTCAACTATTAATTTAAAACCCAGGAAGACTATAATTCTTACATACCAATATTTCAGAGGAATAAAATTTTAAATTTTCTTTTAAAACACCAAATACAAAAATTATTTTCTCTAATCAATTATCAAATAGTTTTTAGAGGCTACATACTAGGAAAGTCTTGAGCCTTGACACTTCCATTCTGTATGCCATTCATGGGTTCATGGTAGAGGTGTAGTGAAGGGGGACAGAAAGGGACACATGTCCAAAGAGTTAATTTTCAGGATTAGAACAAAGAAGCCAGACTTTGCACATGGGTTGCATCAGTGGGGGGAAAAGGTATAAACCTCTTACATCCCCACCTCCCTTTTCTTCATCTCCCAACCCTGTGCCGATAATCCTCCCTCCAGCTCTGCCTCCCCTCTGTGAACCTAATACAGTATTTACATTTACTGAGGAAAGAACAAGCCAGATTTTTTCTCAGGGAGGTCTGTTGTAGGATTTCTAATTGTACAGAGATTTTTATGTCTGACCAAGTTTTATAATCTTGCATTGACTCTTCAGCTCTAATCAATATTGATACATCTGAATTAAAACTGTCTTCTCTTTGTATTATACAATAAAATGAATCCCTTGGCATTCCTAATCTTGTTAGATTATTTGACATAGATAAAATTTTTGCTTCCTGTGTTGACCAATTCTTTTATTTAAATAACTTCACTGAGATGTAGTTCATATAACACATAATTTACTCATTTAAAATGTACATTCACTGTTTTTAATATATTCACAGAGCTGTGAGACTATCACAATTTATCTTGGAATGTTTTCATGTCCCCTACCAACCAACCAACAAACAAACCAACAAAAACAAAACACAAAACACAAAAACCTACTATACCCATATCTTTCATTCTCCTTCTTTATGCCTCTATTTTCTGTCTCTATAAATTTGCCTATTCTGGACATTTCATACACCATAAATAGAATTAAATTGTATATGGTCTCTTGTGATCAGCTTCTTTCATTTAACATAATGTTTTCAAGCTTTGCTAACTCATTCTTTAAATGGGATTTGCATCATATCCACACTGTTTTCCAAATATTAAAAGAATATTTTGTATATTTATGCATGTATGTCAAATGGTTTTCCAAATTATTGCCCTTCCCAGTTCCCAGAAATCAGAAGGCTAGGTAGCCTCTTCAAAATAAAAAAAACACAGTCCTCAGATTCTGCAAATTGAAAATGCAAATCCTCCAGGTAAAAAAAAACTAAACTCTTTGATATTAACACACTTACACCTAACTAAAATCACATTATTATGCATGCACATTCATCCTCCCCCCAAAATGACTAATCTATTTAAGGTCTCAAAATCAAAGGACTTCTTATAATTCAAAATATTAAATAACCAGTACAAAACAAGCAAATGCGTTGAACAGACGCTTCACTCAAGAAGATATATAAATGGCACATAAGCACATGGAAACATGCTCAACATCAGTAGCCTTCAGGGAAATGCAAATCAAAACCACAACAAGATTCTATTTTATATCCACGAGGATGGTTGTAATAAAAAAATTCATAGTACCAAGTGTTAACAAGAGTACAAAGAACCTCAACCCCTTTTACACTGACTGTAGAACATAAAATACAATAGCCACTTTCAAAAACAGTTTGGTAGCTACCAAAGTTAAACATAGATTTCACCAAAATAGCCAGTATCCCTAGGTATATAGGTGTTTTAACAATGATATATGTGAATACTTCTCGGTAGAAATAAAAACATATTTCTACCCAAAGACACAAATGTCCATAGCAGTGACACAAATGTCCATATCTTTACTCATAATATCCCCAAACTGGAAAAATCCTAATCTTCATTAACTTGTAAGTACACAAACAAAATGTGGGATGTCCATACATAGAATATACTTAATAATAAAAAAGCACAAACTACAGATATTCACACATTGGAGGAGACAGAAAAAAAAAACCATTCTGATATGTGGTGGAAAAAACACAGATATAAAAGACTACATATTGTATAATACTGTCTAAATAAAATTTCTAGAAAAGGCCAAACTATGGAGACATAAAGCAGATCCATGGTTGTCTGGGATTGGCCACTGGCACTGGAGTAGCTTCAGTTAAGTGCAAATGGGAGGAGGGAACTTTTGAAGGTAATGGAAGCTCTCAAAAACTAGATATGGTGAGGGTTGCACTATATTTATATATAATAATATATATAATAACATATATTATATATATTATATATAATAATGTTTATAATAAAACATTAAACTATATTTAAAATGGATGATTTATACAGTATATAAATTACACATCAATAAAGATTTTCAAAAAAACACAAATATTCATAAATTTAAAGCATTCAAACAATACCTCAATATCTCCATTAATACTGTGCAGTACCAATGAACAGGAATTCATGACATGAAAGTTTTGCCCATTCTTTCCTACATCAACAAGTTCTCAAATTGTTTGGTCCTTTATACTCTAAAAATAATTTGTACTCTTAAAAATAATTGAGGATCTCAAAGAACTGTTGTTTATGTGGATACCATTTGTCAATATTTACCATATTAGCAAATATACTCTGTCAATATTTACCATATGGGGAATTAAAATGGCAAATTAAAAACAATGTTATAGCATCACTTCCAACAATAGCCAAATTATGGAAAGAGCCTAAATGTTCATCAACTGATGAATGGACAAAGAAATTGTGGTTTATATACACAATGGAATACTACTTGGCAATGAGAAAGAATGAAATACGGCCATTTGTAGCAACGGGGATGGAACTGGAGAATGTTACACTAAGTGAAATAAGTCATACAGAGAAAGACAGATACCATATGTTTCCACTCTTATGTGGATCCTGAAAAACTTAACAGAAGACCATGGGGGAAGGGAAGGAAAAAAAAAAGTTAGAGAGGGAGGGAGGCAAACCATAAGAGACTCTTAAAAATTGAGAATAAACTGAGGGTTGATGGGGGGTGGGAGGGAGGGGAAAGTGGGTGATGGGCATTGAGGAAGGCACCTGTTGGGATGAGCACTGGGTATTGTAAGGAAACCAATTTGATAATAAATTTCATATTAAAAAAAGATAAACTAAATAAACATTATAAAAATTAAAAAATTAAAAATAAATAAAAACAATGTTATAGATTCAATCTAAAATAATAACAAACCTATATGTTAACACATAAAAACAAATACATTCAATGAAAAGTATAATTATTTTCCAAAACAAAATAAACAGAGTTGAAATCAGTGGCATTTTTTATGTTTTGCCAATCCGTTTTGTGTTTGCTTAATAGAAGACAACCATATTCCCATATCTTCTCTTGCATGCAATCTGAAGCAATATCACACATCACACAGCCTCTGGAAAACCCCACTGTATACTCAAGAGAGAATAAGAATGAAAAAGGCAAACAGCATCTTAGTATTATTAGGAAAGTAGTTCTGATCTCACTGACCCCCACAAAGGGTCTGGGGAATGCTTAATACAGTTACTTTAGGATTAAGATTATTGGAAAACAGGATCAGGAAACTTTCTGAAAATAATTTTCAGAGCATTTTGACCCCTACATTGTATAGACCTGACTACAACTTACTTAAAAGTAAGCAATCAAAATGAGACACATCAGGCCACATCAATACTTACTTGTTGAATCTCAAATGCTGTTCTAGATTCATCAGCAAGTAAAATAAATAAGACAATACTACAGATTGTTAAAATACCTGATTGTTAGATTGTTATTTTCTTTTTTTTTTTAAGATTATTTATTTATTTTATGAGAGAGAGAAAGAGAGGGAGAAAGAGAAACCCAAGCAGGGTCTATGCCATCAATTCAGAATCAGACTCGGGGCTCAATCCCACCAACTGCGAGATCTTGACGTGAGCAGAAATCAAGAGTCGGACTCTCAACCAACTAAGCTATGCAGATAAGTTGCCCCTACATTGTTATTTCCTAAAGCTACTATTTTAGTCATGGATTCAGAAGCTTTTGTTTTATATCCTTTCTCGTTTTCCACCATTGCTATGAGTGCGAAAGCTCTGACCTAGTTTCTGTATATGCTTGTAAAATAATAAAAAATTTTTGAATTTTTCTAAAATAAACCTCGATACCATAATCTAAAATAATCATGCTAATTTTAATATTTGAAAAATAATTATTTAGTTGTCACTTTAGAAAACATGACTAAATTAAATTGAATTAGTATTTATTTCTCCTGTGCCTCACATTTAAAGAATAATATAATTGGGGCACTTGGGTGGCTCAGTTAGTTAAGCTTCTGACTCTTGGTTTAGGCTTAGGTCACAATCTCACAGTTCATGGGTTCTAGTCCTGCATTACGCTCTGCAGTGATAGAGCAGAGCCTGCTTGAGATTCTCTCTCTCTCTCTCTCTCTCTCTTTCTGCCCCCTCCTTTCTCTCTCTCTCAACAAAACAAACAAACAAACAAACAAACAAACATTAAAAAAAAAAAAAGGATGATAACGTAATCAAAAGTTTCTGTGTGCCTTCTATCCTGAAATAGTTGGAGATGCTCGCTAAAGATGTACCAGTTCATTTGAGATGTCTCCAAAGCTCTGGTCCTCTTTGAACTGAGTTGTACCTCCCAAGGAACATGATTTAAAACTTGACAAAATTCCAGAATTTATAACTTGAACTCAGTGTAAGTACTTACTTGACAATATCTCCTTCAAGAGCAATCACTCTTTTAATGATCTTCTGTTCTGGGTTTTTAGGGGACCTAGAATAAAATAAGATTATACAATCAGTTATGTCTCTATTGTTTTAAGGAAATGAAAAGAAATTCTGCAACAAAATAAGCTATATTAAAATCATTACAGAATCTTTGCACCCATGACGTGGCCTCAGTCCTACTTAGGTCCCCAAAGTGATATAAAGCTACTGTTGAAGTAATTCTCATTTTAAACCTTTGGAGGAGAAGCCATGATGACAGTTTATTAAAATAAAAAGTAGAGAAGGATAAGAATTTTAGTATTAAAGCTAAGTACTTGCAAGAGAGAGGATTCATATACAAAGAAAATTAGATGTTTCTTTAAAATCTCATACTTACAGTTTCTTTATTTCATTTAAAATAAACAATGGAATTTTAATTAAATCCACAAGAAAACGAAGAAGATGAGAGGTGTTTAAAAAGATCAGAAGAGTCTTTTAAACTGCATTCGGGTTTAGCCATTTGAAAACTCTGTAATTCGGAGCACTAAAACAAGGGTATTGACATCCCACTCTATCCCTAGAATCTCACTCTGCAGAAAGCCATGTCTGCCCTGAGTAGCCCTATGGAGAGACTCATGTGTTGAGGAAATGTCTGCTGACCATGTGAGTGAGCGTAGCAGTAGAACCTTCAAGCCTAGTCAAGTGCTCAGAGACTACAGCTCTGGCCAACAGTGTCACTACCATCTCCTGAGAGACGGCGAGCCAGGCCACCCACCTAAGCTGCCTTTGTCTTCATGATACTCAGAAAATGTGTGAGATAATAAACATTTGTTCTTTTAAGCTTCTAGATGTTGGGGAAATTTGTTACACAGCAAGGGCTAACTCAGTCTTACTAAGGCCAATTTCCTGCCAATAATGTTTTAAGTCTTTTAACAGACACATTTCAAGGAACATCTCATATATCACATAAATGATCATTTAATATGATTTTGGAAATCAAAGACAGATAAAAATATTTTCAATTCAAGTCACATTTTGAATTGAGTTGCTTTTGAAAAAGGAAGGTAAATGCACAAAAACTGAAAAGATTAAATATATTCAAAATGTAACACTTCATCAAAGTAAATATGCAGTTTCAATAAGATTTATATTTCACATTATATGTTGTCGAGAAAATGAAATCATCTAAATCATTTGCATCTACTTGTGAAAATTAGTCTCACGTTTTTCACTAAATTATAAGTATTCTTTATTTTAAAAGGAAATTTGGTCAGAGTTTTTGACTGAACTGTCCCTTTCACTGAACTAACTGTTACATCTCTATAATTTTACTGTCATCTGTGTGCAGCTAGAGTGAGGGTTCTTGGAACAGTGAAACTGAATAAATTGTACAGGACCACTTACAGACATTTAGGAAATTCCCCTCCTTTGTCTCTTTGTTTTAGATAACCAGAAATGTATAAAATGATATTCATCCTCTATGATCACCAAAGAATTGCATATTAGAACAATGGAATGCCATTTTCCTATTACACTGACAAGCAAATAATAATGATAACAACAACAACAACAATTGTAATGCTGGTAATACAGTTTGTTGTTGAGGGTCTAGGGACATGGGTACTCTATGTATAAAGCATATGGTAATGTAATCATGCATTTCCATAAAACAGTGACGAGATTTTATATTCTTTTCAAGATGACAATTGTAGTTTTAGGAATTAATCCTAATGAAACAATTATGAATATATGCAAAATTTTAGCAGTATGGATGTTATCTATTTTTAAAAAGAGAAAAAAATTCTGTTAAGAGTAGATTAAGTAAATAGTCCATCCACATAATAAAATATATACCAGTCATTAAAATATTATAAAAGAATTTTTAATGATGTGAAAATATCAACATAATGCATAGATTGAAATGAAAGCTAGAAAATAGTATGCATACTGTGACCTCACATCTGTAATTAGAGAGAGAAAATGTACATGCAATTGTACAGGGAAAAATCAGGAAGGACATAAAACCAAAGTTGGGGTGTAGGGAGTTCTGTAGCTGATAAAAAAAAAAAAGCGTGCTTAGAGTTTTTGGTTCAGATTTGTGGGAAGTCTATTAGCAGATGACAACTGTTGGTATCATATGACATTACCTAAGAAGAAATGCCCCAAGAAAGGCGTGAGACCTGAACTAATCGCCAAGTTCCCCCACCTCACACTGATGCAGTATTAATGCCAATGAAATAATATGAAAAGCAATCCTTATCACTGTAAAACAATATTTTATGCCAACAACTTTTAAGCTCTTGAGGTGCTTGAAAAGAATTTTATGTTTTAAAATAATCTATATTTTAAGATCATGAGGCAAAATAGAATATGCAAAGTGAGCTATCTATATAATTAAAGTCTTATGAATTACTATTTCAAATATATCTATAAATTTTAATGTAATATTAAACTCATGAATCTAATCAAAAGATTCAAAATGAAAAAAAAGCTATTACTAACATTAATCCCATTACTGCTCAAAATCTATATCTATATTTTAATCATTATGCTGTTGAATATACTACTTTCATGTAAGTAGAAGTGGTATGAGAGTTATTATAGATTTACATTGTGAAAGTCATTGAACTTCCCTTTGTCTAAATTTCCTTGGCCATTTGCCCATCTCCTGGGAAGTGTGAAGAATAACAAGCGAAGGATTATATGCCCTCCTTTAGGGATACGATGTATGGTGTCCAACAAATACTAAAATTTGCATTTAAATTTGTAATTTCAGTGTTTTCATAATAAGCATTGTTTTACAATATTTATCTCTGGATCCTGACTTTTAAGCATTCTGTCATATGCTGATGATTTAATTAGGCACGTTTCCTCCAGAGGCTTGGACAGGATGTCTAGAATTATCCACACAGGGCTCCGCACATGAGTTTGGTGTGGCAGAATGGGTGGGTGTCTAAATGCAAAGGCTGTCGGGAGAAGAACAGGATGCAGCACGGTCAGTGCATTTCTATGACACTTAATGTTCTTGAATTTCACTTCCCATCTTGATAAAAATGCTGTTTTCACCCTGTTACAGGAGGGACAGAGCCATGTCTTAGGTCTCATATCTCTGGAAACGATTTCATGCTCTTGTATGTTCTTTCTGTACACTGTAATTTTGATCCTGTCTGGAGCACTAGGAAGGTACTTTGGAATACTCAGGAGATGCCCTCTTGAGTTTTGTGGGGATGGAAAGATTAGCAAGTGTGCCACGCTCTCTGTTCCTGTTTCCATCACACAGATACCTTAATCCTGTGTCTAGGCTCTCACTCTTCTCCCATTTATAGTGAAATCCTAAAACCTCCCTCCAGATTGTAAATATTTTTATGTTTACGTGACTCAGGATTGGCCCAGATTATCACAGAATTAATCTCATTATCAGAAGTCATTTTAACGACAGTCTAATGTAAGCATGGATACCGCAAAAATACCACACTAATTACATATGTACAGTGCAGTCTAAATTTTAACTCTTCCTTCATAAGGTAGAAGAACTAATATTCTAGGCATGCCTTATATTAGATAGGCTGTTTTTTACTGTCCTAAAGAATGGCCATGCATTAAAACACATAACTACACCATCACAATAAAAAAAATGGGAACATTGCTGTTTGAATCATCAAAATAAGATGTAGAATAAAAAGTCCAGTCAACACATTTAGAAAAAGTCATATAAAAAGAAAGTCATATCAAGTGATAACTTCCGTCTTCCTTTTGCTTTGAGATATAATTAACATATAACATTTTATTAGTCTCAGGTGTACAATATAATGATTTAATATTTGCATATAATGAAAATGCTCACCACAATAAGTCTAGTTAACATCCATCACCACACACTTTTTTTTTTTTTTTTAATTTTGGAAAATGTTGCCTGGGTCTGACATGGTTTTCATAGAAGGTTAGAGCTAGAAAGGCCTATGAGTGTATCTAGCCTTTCCCTGTTGCTTGTGATCTCACCCATGGCCTAAGTGTCACTACTGGGTCGCTTTGTGCCTTGTAAATGCATGAACTGGGGTACAATTTCCATGGGGCACAACCCTGTTACAATGGAGATGGCTGTCACTCTCTTGCTATAAGTGAGCCACTGACTACAATCATCCTACAGAACCAATATGGGTCTCATTTTCAGGGACATAAGGCCAGATCAGAGGTCCTGCACAAGAAGTCAATCAAATTTAGCCTGTGGAAAGGTTTTGTTTGGTTCATGCATAACTTTGTTTCAGTCTTGAACTAGCCAATAAAACAGGAGACTTCACACAAAAATTCTAATTTCTTGTTCCTCTTGAAAAAATGGGAAGATCTGGCAGTCCTAGGCCCACATTCTTGCAAGAAAAAATGTCTGTAGGAGCTGAGAAGCAGAGACTACGGGAGTCCCAGAGTTCCAAGGGCTGGTTGAACAAACCTCTAGTGGCTGAGGGCATGTGAGGTTAGGAATCTCTAGAAATCTTGGCGATTTCCTTCACTTCTATCATCACATAACTACTGAGACAACATGTATAAAATCTCTGGCAGGCAGGCCTAGTACCTCGTAAGTAGGTAAATTTTAGAGCTATCTATCTCGTCTTAAAATAAATTCATAAAGGAGATCAATTAGCTGGGCCCAAGCAAACTGTCACAATCCTTCTTTTAGATCCACAGAATATTTATTTCAAAACCCCTCTTATAATGAAGGGATTTTCACAGACTGTTGAATTAGAAGGCAAGAAAGGCATCTTAACGGTTTGGCCAAACTTTATTATACAACTAACTAAAGAAACATTAAAACTAAATATAATACTATTCACAGTGAAAAGCACAGATTAGTCTTAACTTAAATGGGTATTATCTATAAAATCAAGATAAAAATGAGCAAGTTTCAATGTTGAATTCTGTAGATTTTCTTCACTCTCAGTAATATGAACTTTCACATATAACTGCACTTTTAATGATTTTTTTTTAATTCAGTGCAGTTGTATTAATTAGTACTTTCAAAACATTTTACTTTGGTCATCATTTCAGCTACATTGTTGCCCTTACAGACTTTGC